TTAACCCTGTTTGCCTCAATTTCCTCAATTGTAAAATGAGCTGGAGAGGGAAATGGCAAACCCCTCCAATATCTCTGCCAAGAAAACCCCCAAATGGGGTCACGACAGTCAGACATGACTGAAAAATGACTTAACAACAAGATGCTGAAAGTTTATTCTCAAAAGGTTATTTTCCTAAAGGAAAAGATGCAGTATTAGTGTATTCAATAGACAGCTGGAGCAAAGACCACCTGAGTTTGAGGCCTGCCTCTGACACTTACTGGTCTGGCTATGTGACCCTGAACAACTCATGGCCTCCGGGCTTAGTAAGACCGCTAATTGCAGAGAAAGTAATGTCGACTTCTGCATTTGGTAAAAAGAGCTTCTTAATGTGAGATTTCACTAACCCAGTGAAATCAAAAGTCCAACCCCCGCCCCATCCCCTATAGGACTGGGGTTAGCATTCATATGGAGAGTTGCAAAGAAAAATCCAGAAGCATTTTCCTAAAGTCTTTGATCCTCTCTCTGCAAATGGTGCCAGGCCACGGCCTCAGCACTCAGAAACAGCAGCCTGCCAGTACACTGGGTTAATTGCTTCTTGCTTCCTTCAGTCTGCACCCCTAAAACCAGCTCCCTCTTTCCCAAATCTTCATAGGTAAGTGTGTATCTCAACCCAAACAGCCCCTGCCATCACAGACCAGGGCCTCCACATTTCCTTGGTTTGACAACCTGGTGTAAAGCAGACCATACTCACACTTACTTCCTTCAACTCAAAAGATCCCAATGGGCATATCTGGAAATAGAAGTGACAGATAGTACCTTGCTCCCAATCAGTTATCACAGTGGAACTCCCAAAAGAAGGGAGTAACTCAACAGATGTCAGAGACGGGACTTTTCCTATCAAAAAGGAAAGGCTATGAAGGTATCTTTGGAGCAGCCACCCTAACACTCCATTCTGAGGAACTGTCACAATGTCACCTCAATCTGGACAGAGAATTGAAGACCCCTAGTATGGCACTCCTATATCCCATCAGCTGTAAGGACTATCCTTTAATAAATCTCTTTTGGACACAAGTCAAATGCATAGGCCTCCATGTGAAGATGCTGGCCCACCACATAATCAGTCATTTGGAAAAGGAATTGAAATGAGTAGAAGAAACTAATTTGAGTCTCCTCATTTTTTTTAACTCCTGTTATTCGTGTGTGTGTGTGTGTGTGTGTGTGTGTGTGTGTGTGTGTGTGTGGCAACTAAGGTTAAGTGACTTGCCCAAAGTCACAGAGCTAGTGAGTGTTGTATGTCCAAGGGCAGATTTGAACTCCAGGGCCAGTCCTCTCATCCACTGCACCATCTAGATGCCCCTTTTTAACTCCTCATACTCAGAGAGTCCTCATTCCCATTCTTGCAGCGAGAGGCCCTAATTCACTAATGTTCCTTCCAACTCTGAATCAATGATCTTGTAATTCATTTAAAGGCACTGATTAAGGTCTTCTACTTTGTAAGTGAAATCAGATTCAGCCCTTACCTCTCTCCTGACCTCCAATCTCACATCACCAACTGCTTACTGGATGTCTCAAAGGAGGTGCATAGACATCTTAAACTCAAAATGTCCAAAACAGAAATCTTCATTTTCCCACCAAAATCCTCTCCCTTTCAGAACTCCCTTATCATATGGATAGAAGGTATCACCATCTCCCCAGTCACTCAGGCTCTTAATACAGATGTTAGCTGGTCTTTAACCAAGGTTGGCTGTATGTTGTTTCCTCTGTTAGAATATAAACCCTCTGAAGACAGGTACTGCCTTTCTTTGTAGTCCCAACACTTAACACAGTGCCTGGCACATAGTAAGTGTAATACGAGCTTGTTGACTTGACTTGAGGACCCAAGTAACACCCATTTCCTAACTTTTAAAATAATTACAACAATTAAATATATGTTAATTTTGTATACTAAAAGATAGTTTAAACTAAGTTTAAATTGTTTTAAATTAATAATAGCTCACATTTACACGACAGTTTACAAAGCATTTTCCACTAAGTTTCAGGGACCTAAATAAAACCTAACTCCAGAGATATAAATCTAAATAAAATTAGTGGTCATGAACTATGCTAAAACCCAGGTCTCTAAAATTATACTTTTCCAAAAATAGCTATTTCCAACAAAACACCACATACTGAAAAAGAAAAGAAAATCATTCAGCATGGCATGAGTTTCATAAATCACTAATAAGTCTCATGACACTGTATAAGCTCTTTGAGGGCAAGTCTCCCAGCACCTCCTGGGCATAAGTGCTTACTAAATTATGAATCAAAGAATGTCTCTGTTTCATAAGTAATGTAACTGATAGGCTCTCCATATAAATTTCCTGGTAATACTAATGAGGAGGAGGTTTTGGAAAGTCCCTCTTCTAATAAAAATGACAAATGTGAGATTTGAAAAAAAAGATTCAGGCGTGATAGGATTTGTTCCATAAATATACTAGTGTTTTCACCCCACACCCCATGAGTTTTTTCTTAAGAGCATATTAGTTAGTAGTTTAACAAACTGACTTTGGAAAAGTCTACTAACCTATCAAAACACCAGGGTCAGTTTTCTTCTTCGCTACTTTTCCCTTAAACTTAGGAACTCCTATGTTTTTGGCTATTTGTTATAAACTCTAAAAATTAGTAAACAGTTTCTTTGAGGAAGGGAGGAAGGTTGTTGTTGTTGTTAAACTCTTGGTACAATTCAAAACAAGCTTTTCTTTCTATGGTGGGGGAAATCTCTAGAAACATTGAGTCACTGATTATAAACTCCACGAACACCAGGACAACTATACTCACTCAAAGTTAGAGCAATCTTTGTGTCTTTAGTCAGACCAGGATTCCAAAAGTGAAAATCTCTTTACTTATAACCAATTACTACATCAACCAAACAGCAAGCAAAAAGAAGCAAGGCGGGCAGTTTAATGAAGCAACTTTAGTCTTGGAACTTTTAGCACTGAAATGAGCCCTGAGTTAACTAAGTTTGCCCCAAAGTTTCTGTAACAGCTGATCTTGAGCTTGCCAAGACCTCAGAGGCCAGCTAGCCTAACTCCCTGACTTTCCACGTGTAGAAGGGTAAGTCACTGGCACACAAGTGGCCCTAAAGCGTCAGAGATGGGACCTCAGACCCAGTGACGCCGCTTTTCCCCACTAAACGTCTCCTTGGATCAACCAACTGGTCCTCTCTGAGGAGGTGTTGTCAATTGTTACAAATACTCTACTGGTCAAGGAAAATGGATTCTGCTTAATGTAACTATTCTCATTTCCACCCTGGAAAAGACTATAAGTATATGCAATGAACTTACATGCAATTCTAAAATACTGATAATCTATTAAAATTTTCAAGTTAAAAACCTCCAACTCCCATGAAAAGAGTATTGAATTTCGAGTCTGAGGGTCGGAATTCCCAATGAAAATGGCAGTGCTGGGGAATAAAGTCTGCAGATCAGGGGAAGCAAAGACTCATTTGTGCCCTTTACTGCCTAATTTGCTGCCAAGTCGCTTAACTTGTCTCTTCCATAAAACCAGGGGACTGGCCTCCATGACATGACCTCTAAGGGCCTTTCCAGATCTTCATCTATGACTCTGTAGTCATGTCAGATGCTGGGGGAGGAACAATTAGAAGGGGTCACTGGAAGCAACCATGGAAGCCAGGTGCAAAGCAAAGAAGCTACTGCCCTTGTAAAAGTCTGGAATCTGCCACTAAGGGTGTGACCACAGGCAAATGTCTTCCTCTCTCCTCTGTAAAATGAGGGGGGCCTCAAATACACTTCGGAATCAGAAATTCAGAGTTCAAATGCCATCTCAGTTACAGCTTAACCTTAGGCAAGTTTCATCTCTGAGGGCCTCATAAAGTCCCTGGCCAACATGAGTCTTCCAGCCCCAAGTCCACGAGCCTTTAGAGTTATCACATTCTAAGAGGCTACCTTCGAACAAGCCCCTCAAGACACGGAAAGAGGGCTGGTTTCATACTCAGTGAATCACAGAGGCAGGGCTGGAAAGCACCTTAGGGGTCACTGAACCCACCTCATTCCCCATTTCAAAGACAGGGAAATTGAGACATTAAGTGACTTTCCCAAAATTACACGTAGGGGTAAGGTGTCAGAGCTGTGATTCAAACCCAAGACCCAGAACGTCATTAAGCACCTAGTATGTGTCTTCAGCCTGAGAAACCAAGCAAACACATAACATATGGTGCCTTCGGGGAGCTTCCACCTGGTGGGTGTATAATCCTTAAGAGACAACAGTAAAAGATTAAGGGGAGGGGAGAGGGAAGGAGTCTCTCTCTGGCTGTGACACTGGGCAGTCCATTCAAAGAAGTGTCAAGGAAGCAGGTTCACCAAGGGGTAGCAGGGATCTCAGGGTGGAAGCTGATGAGGAAGCATCAGGGAGACCATCAACTGGGTGGGAGGTCAAGAAGCTTAAGGGAGGTCAAGGGGAAGGGGTCAAGCAAGGCAGGAGTTTAGGCAGGGGTCAGAGTGGGGTCAAAGGAAGTCAAGGGAGGTCAAGGGGAAGGGGTCAAGCAAGGCAGGAGTTTAGGCAGAAGTCAGGGGTAGGGTCAAGGAAGGGCAAGGGTAGGGGTCAAACAAAGCAGGAGGTTTAGGCAAGGGTAGGGAAGATAAGTGGGGTCAAAAAAGGTCAGAGGAGGTAGGGGTCAAGCAAGACAAGAGTTTAGGCAGGGGTCACGGGAGCACAAGTGTGGTCCAAGGGGGTCAGGGGAGATAGGGGGTCAAGAGAAAGACTGAGGAAGGCAGGGTCAAGGAAAGGGGAATCAGGGGGGCGGGGGCTCGAGGAGGACGGGGCCCCCGGGCGGATGGAGGGCGCTCGGGCGCTCGCACCTCCCCGGCTCCCGGCTCGGCCCCGCCCCCGACCCAGGCACGCGCCACGCCCCGGTCCCGGTCCCGGCCCCGCCCCCTGGCCCCGCCCCCGGCCCCACCTGCCCCGGCAGCCGTTAGTCACGGCTGGGCCCAGGGGCCTCGGCCCCCGCGCGCCCCCCTCACCAGAGCAGCGCCCCGAGCCCGGGGGATCTCCGTCGCAGCGGCTCCGGCCCGCCCTCCTCCTCGACCCTTACCCCTTCTCCTCCTCCGGCGGCTCCCCCCGCCCGCCCGCCCGCTACCAGGGTTCCCCGCAAGCCATCGTCTCCGCCTCGCTGACTGACAGACAAGCCGGCCGAGGAGCCGCCACGGCCGCGAGCCGCTCTGACAGGCACGACCAGGAACCCGTCGCCGGGCAGCCAACCACTGCCGCTTCATGGAGACCCGACCTATCGCCTTCCAGGGGGCGGGACCAGAACAACTTCTAGGCCTATAGGGGCGTCCCATCGTTCGGTTTGGGGGCGGGGCCTGGAGGAGAGGCGGGAGGCGCTGGGGTAGAGCGTGGTCTTCTGCTGGGGGCGGGGCCATGCTGGAGAGCGAGGAAATGATTGACAGCTAGATCTGATGGGATGGAATGGAAAGTGAAGTTCTCTAAATCCTGAGCTGGGCCCCCAGCGTGGAGGAGGGCGGCCTTTGCGAGCTCAAATTCACCTTAATCCCCAGGGAAACAAATGAGTCTTCTAATCCCTCGATCAAGAGACTTAATCCCCAGCACTGCCCTTCTCAAGGCTTTAATTCAGGCTCCCAATCTGACCAATATAAAATTCCCAAAGGAAGTAAAGTCTGGAAATTGACAGGTGGACCAGTTCCCACGACTGGGTGCGGGGCAAAAGGCGCAGGACCTGGGGGTCAGGAGGGAGACCAGGCTGAAATCCCCCCGAGGCCAGCTCTGGGATGAAGCCGTTTAACTTCTCTGAGCCTCGCTTTCCTCATCTATGAAAGGAGTTGGTGTGGAGGATATAGAACATCACATAAGCCCAATTAGCAAGCCTTGAAGTGCATGTAAATGTCAGTTATTACTGATTCAGTCTCTTGGTTTAACCAGCAGAAAAATCTTAGAGAAAGGAGTTCATAGTATAGACTCCTAAGAGCAGTTGTTCCCAGCCTCCATGGTCCCTAGACCCCATCTTCAGATATTGGGCAAGTGCACACTTCTGAGGATTTCTTTTCTTGGCATCAAACCTGCGATGTCATAAGGAGCTCCCCAGAAGATGCAAGTGAGCACTAGCTTTGCAGCCTTAAGGCTCAGAAAGCTGCCTCTGGGGCTCTTGACAAAGAGGTTGAGCAAGGCTTGTCTAAGGTCCCACCGCCAGTAAAAGTCAGAAGTCAAATCAACAATAGATTGTGAAGAACTTAGCAGTGCCCGCACTAGGCTAAGCACTTGGGAAACAAAGGGGAGGGGGAGGGGCAAACAAGCATGCCCTCAAGTAGCTCACAGTCGAGTGCAAGTCACCACCTACACCTAAAAGCATGCACAGAGTAAATTGGAGGGACTCTCAGAGGGAAGGGACCAACACTGAGGGGTCCTGGAAAGACTTCTTGCAGAAGGTGAGATTGTAGCTGAGTCTTGAAAAAAGCCAAGAGACAAAGGTCAGGAAGGAAAGCTTTCCAGAAATGGGTGACAGATGGTGAAAAAGCTCTAAATTGGGAGACAGTGATGTGAAGGAGGAGATGCAAGCAAGCCAGTGGAGTGGATTGTACAGTGCCTGGAGGCCAGTCAAGTGTGAAAAGAATGGAAAAGTCCGAAGGGGGCAGATTGAGGAGGGTTTGAGATGCCAAACAGAGCTTTTTACAAGGTATCCTGAGGACCACAGGGAGCCACTGAAGTTTATTGAGTGAAGGGTTGATATGGTCAGACCTTCACTTTAAGCAAATCATTTTGGCAGCTGAGTGGGGAATAGACAGTAATGGAGAGAGAGGAGGCCAAGACCCATCAGCAGACTATTGCAGTGGTCCCAACATGAAGTGATGAGGGCTTGTCCTAGAGTGGTGGCAATGTCACAAGAGAGGACGAATAGAGGAGAGACGTTTCAAAGGCAAAATTGACAGAATTGGGCAACAGATTGGATATGTGGAGAGTGAGAAGTCAAGGATGGCCCCTAGGTTGGCAACATGGATGATGGGGAGGGTGGTGGTACCCTGAACATCGAAAGGAAAGTTCGAAAGAGAGCGGAGCCAAGATGGCAGAGTGAAAGCAGTGACTTGCTTGAGCTCTCCCCCAAATCCCTCCAAATACTCATAAAAATGGCTCTAAACAAATTCTGAAGCAGCAGAACCCACAAAAAGACAGAGTGAAACAAATTTCCAGCCCAAGACAACCTGCGTGATTGATCAGAAAGGTGTATCTCGCCGGGCTGGGAGCTCAGCGCAGCGCAGCATGGGCGCGCAGGCCGCAGCAAACCTGGAGCAGGCCTCAGAGGACTGAATCGTGGGCAGCTGTAGAGGTTTCCAGACTCCTCAATCCACGAATGCCAAAGACAACTTAGAAGGTCAGTGGGAAAAGTCTGTTTCTGTCAGAAAGTTCAAAAGAAAAGAGGGTTGGGAAGATACCAACTTCAGTTTTGGACATGTCTATGGGACATTCAGTGTGAGATGTCCAATAGGCAATTGCTGGTGAGGTAAGCCTGGAAGTCAGGATATAATTTTCCTGAAAAAGAGTAAGACCATAAACAATGTAATGAGTTACAAAATCATGTATTCAGAGCTAGAAGATACCTTGGTAAATTAGGACATGTCACTGCATCGGTGGGAATGAGGGCTTTCTGAATTTTGAAGAGTTTAAAAAATGAAATTTGACAAATTTCTCCTACTCATAGGCATAGAGATGCAAGACTGAAGGTTAAGAAAGTGTTTAGGGCTGGACAAATAGATCTGAGAATCAAATGCATATACGTGATCATTGAATCCATGGGAGCCCATGAGATCACCAAGAAAGATAATAGATAGTGAGAAGAGGATCCAGGACAGAACCTTGGGGAATACCTAAGATTAGCATGTTCAACCTGGAAGAAGATCCAGCAAAGGAGATTGAGGAGGAGAAAAACCAGGAAAGCACAGTGTCACAAAAATCTATAGAAAAGAGAGTATTAAGTTGAAGAAGGAACCTACAGTGTGGAAGAAGCCAGGTCTTCCTGTCTCCAAGGCCATCTGGTGATCCACTACTCTTCACTGCCTCTCTCCAGACTTTGTTCATGGGATCCCTTGACTTGCTCAAGGCTACACCATTGCGTGATACAATGACTTGTTTGAGGCTACACCATTAATTTTGCCCCTTTGGATACAAGGAGTAGAGTACTTCAGTGCTCTGTAAAGCTGATGTCAGCAGATCTTTCACAATTCAGAATTTGTTAAATCAACCTGAAAAAGGAGACACTTGATCCTGTTTTTATCTCACATCATAGGATCAAAGATTTGTATTAGGAAAAGTACTTAGAGACCATCTACAATCTCATTTTACAAGTGAAGGAATTGAATTCTGGGGATGAAAAGGGACACTCCTTGGACTTTGTAAACTTTGAAATGTTCTGCAAATGTAATTCCTGATGCTGTTGTTATTGGATAAATGTGAGTGATGGAGATCAGGGAACATTAAAAAGATCCAGGAAGCCGCCATCTTGTGATAAGCAGAAAACCAGGCCAGGTCAAGCTAAAATTTATGGGGTAACCAAAATTTGGGGGCTAGATGTTTGTTTGAAGCACTGGTCCTTTTGTATACAGTCTCTAAATACCAACATACGTGTGTGTTGTTTACCCCATTAGAAAGTGGTTTTTTTTTTAGAGCCAGGACAGTTTCACTTCTGTATTTGCATCCTCAGCCCTTACTTTGTATGGTACCAGCATCTACTAAGGGCTTAAGTAATACTTTTCAAATGATTCATTGGTTTTTTCCTCAGATATTTTCTTTGTGTGATGAACAGAGTCACAAAGGTCTAAGCCTGGGCTTGGCATTATAGATAACCCCTAATCTTGAACCAAATGGATTTCTCCCATGAGAATACCCCCAGACCCAATTAGGATTACCATGACTGAAAGAAGGGACAAATATTTGCAGGCTGGTAGGCTAGTCATATAGAGGAGCTGGGAAGGGCTCAGATGTCTTTTCAACATCATTGACACACTCATCTAGTGGCGCTGGAAGCAGGACCAGCTTGGGTTCTAATGTACACGTAGCATATACACATGCAGATTGGTTTATGTGTGACAGATAGACAGATGTGTTCTCGGTATAAAGGATACAGAGCTGCAAGTTACCTCAAAGGTCATCTAGTGCAAACCCCATCCCCATCCACCCCTATTTCAGAGATGAGGATACTTTAAGTGATTTGAGGCAATGTGGCTCAGTGGATATGGCACTGGGCTTGGAGTCAAGATGACCGGATTCATCTCCTGTATCAGACATTTACTCACCGACTAACCCTGGACTTCCTAGCTCTGGGCCCCAGTTTCCTCATCTGTTTAATGAGGGACTCAATGTCCTCTAAAGTCACTTCTGGCTCTAAATCTGTGTTCTATGATCATAGATCAGGCGAGTAGTAAGCTCCAGGAACGGGACTGAAAGCCGTCTTCTCTGACTCTAAAATCAGTACACTACCTACTTTTCAACAGGTGTGTATTTGGTCTTGCATTCTTTTATTCAACAAATATGTGGCCTATGTATATAGGAAAATTACCTGTCATGATGCTCAATGTAAATTAATGAATATTTTATCCTGCATGCTTACAGGTTGTGCACCTGGTGGGATTTGCATGGCCTACGATGATTTTTACTGAAGGGAAGATATAAAACAAGGCCTGTCAGATGGAAGGGACTCCACTTCCCAGTGTCGGGTCTCAGAGTCCCATTCCCAGGGCAGAAATCTCAGGAGACACGTGCTAGGGCACGGGAGATATTTCATCACAGAAGGCAGCGGAAAGATCAGAAGGCCAGGTGCAAAGGCATAGGTGAAATGGGGCCTCTGGGGCCCTAGCATCAGAGCTAGGAGCCAAAGCTGTCCTCCTGCACCAGGCCTGTTGGGACACAAGAACACAGAGCTCTCCCCATCTGCGCAAGGGAAGCTGAGAAGGATCTGGCGCTTGACGGTAACAAGTATAGAGGAAAGAGAGCCGTTTCAAGAGGAGAACGAAGAAGGGAAGGCCAGGGACAAGGACTCAGGAGGACATGGGTCTGAAGCAGCAAGGCCTCAAACTGGATGGAGGGCTAGACGT